TGCTACAACAGGAACTTAGGTATAGTTTGAGTAGACGAATGTGCATGCTAATGGATGAATTTGAGTTTATTTTTTAGAGAAAGAGCAGAATACTCAGACCAAATTATTGCGTCTCAGTCTTAAAAACTTAATTATTAGAGAGGACCTCGAAAAACCCTCACAAAATTTGGTAGTGACTGTGAGATTCGAGCAAAACAAAGTTATTACCTTTTTCCCCCCTCCCTGATTTTTTCTTGTAAACGATTTCTTTTATTATTTTTTTTATTATTAAAAAAATACACAAGATGGCCCATGTAGAAGAGCTTGTGGACTTTTTGGGAGATAAATATGACGGACAATTAGGAGCAGCCACTTCCACTCATGAAGACAATATGTACTTATTTTTGGGAGAGATTTTTAGAACTTGCCATGATGCTACAGCAGAAGCAATGAGAAGGACATTCGAATGCCAAGAACAGATTGGGCGAGAAACGAACTGGGTGCCAATAAGGATATACTATGGGACAGAACAAGAAGACCTCATAGAATGGATAGAGGCCTTCGAAAAAGCAGCAATGGCAAACAATTGGACAAAACGAAGAAGAACACAAATTGCCTCTGGATACCTTGCCAGAATAGCAGTCAATTGGTACGACGATAATTGGTACACCATAGACCACTGGAACGATGATGAATGCAGGGATCGAAGTTTCGTCCCGAGGTTCGTGGAATATTTCGCCACCCTGGAACGAAGACACAAATGACAGATGAAGCTTAATACAATAATACAGAAAAATGAAGAGAGAATGGATACTTACACATATCGGTTCAAGCAGTTGTTAAGACATGTCAACTTGGAACATCGCCTGCTAACTACATATGTCATATGATTGTTCACTGGCAGATTGAAAGGAGAGATTGCAAGGTTAATGCCACTGGTAGAGCCCATCACACTAGACGATGCGATCGCAAGTGTGTGAAAACTGGAAACTGGAGAATACTATACCGGCAGAAGAAAGGAGAGTAACCCAGCTAATAATACCATCAGCAGCCTAACGAAACAAGTGCAAGAAATGTCATCAAAGCTGATCACAATGATAAGAGAGAAGGAAAGTACTAGAAACCAGAGTTATTGACCTACCGGATGCTTCAATTGTGGAAGACAAGGACATAGAACCCATGAATGTCCTGAGCCGCCAAGGAGAATGCCACCACAAGTTGCCAACCCTCATGACGCGAACCTATGTGAAGTAGAAAACAGTAATGATGAAGCTTACGTTGCTACTCGATTATGACACCAGCTATACACTATTAACCATCCTAAAAAAGGTGAATTGAGTAAGGAACCTACTGGGAGAGTTGTGAACCAGCCACGACAAACAGAACAAACATGACTGGTACAACAGGAAGAGCGCACCCAATCAACACAACCAGTAGAAATGGAGATCACGGCAGAATCTGCAAAAAAGAATGCCATGCCATGAGTCAAGTGCCAGAGAGGACCGTCAGTAGTAGACCAAGCACCCCTATACAATGTTGCAGAAGACTTGTTGAGTTAGAGAGCTAATGCCATGTATGCCCAACTGTTGCAAATTCCGAAGCAACAACAGCACCTGGCACAAGTATTGAAATGACCTATCATCATTCCCATGGAAGTTGACTATGTGGAAGACCAGCCCCAACAAACTTCAGCAGCTAGATGTAATATGAAAATAAGAAACAAACCAGTTATAGCAGTATTGGACTTTGGAGCTGCAGTGAGCATTATGTCAAAAAAATTGCTTACCAAGCTCGGACTACAGATTTCAGAACTATCTAATGCTATTGTCGTCACCGCGAACGGAACACGGGAAAGAGCTTTAGGAAAGTTGAAGGACGTAGCATTACAACTAGGAAGAATCATTATACCTATGGACTTTCAGGTTATAGAATCTATGGAAGAAATGATATTATTAGGAATATGTTGGTTTAAGAAGTTACGTGCCCGCCTATATTTTGATGAACAAAAATTGATAATTACCTATAAAGGAGAAAGCATAGAGCTACCTATTCACTATGAAAAAGAAATTAAAATAGAGGAAGAGGAGGAGGAAGAGGATTACGAGGAAGATGACTATTTCGACACATACGAGGAAGAAGATCTAGATGAAGTAGAAAGTTACTTGACTGACAATCAAGAGGACTTATATACCAACCCATGGATCGACGAGCACAGCCCGGCAGCATATTTGATAACGATCGAAGAAGTTCCGACATCCGAAGAAGCCGAACGACCCATAAAACCTCTGGAAGGAGTAATAGAAGAATTAGTGAATACCGAAATCATCGACAACAACCAATGAAAGCAGGCTATTCATTTACTAGAAGAAAATAGGAAAGCTTTTGCCGACGGATTGGATCAACTGGAACAAACTGACGAAGTACAGCACGAAATCGACACTGGAGAAGTGAAGCCGATTAAACAACATGCATATAAAATGCCCTAGTGAGCAAGAGTTTTTGGAAGAGGAAATTCTGAAAATGAAGGGAAAAAAATTAATTAGCGAAATTAAGAGCCCCTGGACATCTCTGGTAGTGATAGTCCTGAAGAAAGGAGGAAAATTACGATTATGCGTAGACTATCGAAAGTTGAATGCAGTTACGAAGAAAGATTCGTACCCTCTATCTAGGATTGATGACTTGTTAGAAGCTTTTGGGAAAACAAATTGGTTTTCGAGTCTAGTCCTAGCTAGCGGATATTGGCAGATCAAGATGAGAGAGAAAGATAGGGAGAAAACCATGTTTATTATGAAACAAGGAATCTATACGTTTAACGTAATGCCCTTTGGGTTGTGTAACGTGCCAGCGACATTTCAGAGAACTATGGACCAGATACTTCACGAATATTTGGGAAAATTCGTAGTAGTATACCTCGATGACATTAATGTGTATTCGATAACTTTCGAGGAGCATGTGGAACACCTACAGAAAGTAATCACGAGGATCAGTGAAGCCGGACTAAGATTCAATAGAGAGAAGTGCCAGTTATTTAGGACAGAAATTCGATTCTTAGGACACGTAGTAGGACACAATGGAATCCAACCGGACGAAGAGAAAATAATCAAAGTGAAAGAATTTCTGATGCCAACGAACCTAAGACAACTACGAGGATTCATCGGACTTGCATCATATTACCGACGTTTCATCAAGAACTTTGCAACAATCGTGAAGCCAATGCATAAATTATTAAAAAAGGGAGTGAAATATAAATGGACGCCAGCACAGGAACAAGCATTTGAGAAACTTAAGACTTACCTGACTTCAGCACCTATCTTGCAATACCCGGACTTTGAGCGAACGTTTTATCTTCATACGAATGCTTCAGGAGTAGGATTAGAAGCCATATTAGCTCAGAGAAGAGAAGATAAGAAGGAATATGTTGTCACCTACGCGAGTAAGAGCCTCACTAGAGCAGAACGAAACTATGCAGCTATAAAATTGGAGTGTTATGCAGTAATCTGGGCCGTGGAGCATTTTCACCACTACCTTGGATTTAAGCCATTCATGATAATAATGGATTATGCAGTATTAAAATGGTTGTATAACACTACACTAAAAGGACGGAGAGCATGATGGATCTTACGATTACAGCCATACCAGTACATTATTCAGCACAGAGCCGGACGAAACACCATAATGCCGATGCACTATCTAGAATTCTAAATCATAAGGAACCGAAGGAAAAAAAAGGAATAGGAGATGAAAATTTAATTAATTATTGCCAGTTGGAAACGCGACCCACCCGAGAGTTGCGATATTGACTGACCGCCATAATCAAAAAAAGAAGAAAATCCGACGAGAAACACAATTCAGCCCAGGTTGTCAGTGTTCTGGCATTAATAAGAATCAAGATGGAACAATAATGATACGATGCAATCAAGACTTACCTATTGTACCAAAGGTATCCACAAAATTTCGACAAGCAACAACAACGACAATTAAAAGCACAAAGCAAATTCTTTCGTGTGCAAGACAACCAATTATTCAAGAAAAATAGATCAACGAAGCAAAACAATTTAATCAAAGTTCTCACGGAAGCAGAAGTGGATTCAGTACTAGCATCGATATATGATCACCCATTGGGAGGCCATTTTTCGAAAGATGTGATGTTTAATAAAATTCGAGAGTACTATTATTGGCCGCAGATGTACAATGACATACGAGAATATGTTAGGACATGCGAGCGATGTCAGAAAGCCAGAGCGAAGAAGGAGAAGCTACCGTTACACCCATCCCTGCAATATCACCTTTTTACAAAATTGGAATCGATATAGTTGGACCTTTATCGACGACTAAAGATGGGTCCCTAAATTATTTGTAAGGACATAATTCAAATGTTCCTTATTATTAAAAATTTTTATTTCTATATTAAAAAATAAAAAAAACTACCTATAAAGGTTTTTTATAGTTTTAAGCATCCATGCAAATCATTTCTGAAATTATGTTCCTATTGAAATAAAGAGCTAGGAATTATGTCCTCTAGGGGACATGGACGTAAAGGGACGTAAATTTTATATGTTAAATACTTTAGGGACCTATCTTTACCGACGATGCCTAGATTGAACAAGTATATCGTAGTAGCAACCGACTATATGACCAAGTGGCCGGAAGCACGTGCCATACGAAGAGACACAGCTGAAGAAGTTGCCAAATTTATATATGAAGATATTATATGCAGACATGAATGTCCGATGCATATACTCACAGACCAAGGCACGCATTTTAGGAATAGAACGATTAACAAACTCATGGCGATACTACAAGTGGAGCATCAGTATTCAACCCCATACCATCTGCAGACCAATGGATTAGTGGAGAAATTTAACAAGACCTTATATAACTCGATCGTCCGATTAATCATCAAGATAATGGAATAGGATATAATAATTCAGCCAATATTATTTGCTTATCACACCGCAAGACAAGCTACGACCCAGCAAACACCTTTTATGTTAACTTATGGAAGAGAAGCAAGATTACCTGCCCACCCGAGTGAATCTGAAGATTTACTTAATGGAATGTTCTTGCAGAGAATGTATGAGTTGACTACAAAAGTACCGAATACAAGGAAACAAGTGCTGTTACAGATCTGGGACAATTAACAAAAACAGAAAGCAAACCATGATCAGAAATTGAAAGGCACTACTACTTTTGGAATTGGAGATAAAGTATTGGCTTACGATATGCAGCGAATGAATGTTTCGAGTCACAAGTTCGCACCTAAATGAAAAGGACTGTATTACGTACACACTATATTTACGAATGGAACTTACAAATTAAAGGAATTAGATGGGAAAGTTTTGTCTATACCGATTAATGGGACTCACTTGAAGAAATACTTGGAGAGGAAGCATTGAGAATTGACTTTTTTATATATAAGAGGGCAATTCGGATGATATTTTTTATTTTTTTTTATTTTTTTTTGTTTTTTTATAGGAACAACAGAGGATCTCATCAGATTTGATATTTTGTCTACTCAGCCATTATCCGTAATGCCCGAACTATATCCGTATCACGAGAGTCAAGGATTTCAAGATTAAGTCGCGTTAGCTTATAATTGACTTAGGAGAGCTAGAAGTATTAAAAATCGGATTAGTAGTCTTACTCATGCATATTACTTGGGAGCAAGAATACAAACACTTATCTCAGCAGAAAGACCTGTCATATGAAGTATTTTGACCACGTATTATCTTAAAGCCGTGATCTGGACCTACTATCTTTTTGAACCACATGGAGTTATGCAGATTTATCAAATGACATATACCACTCTTTCAATAATTGTCAAGCTCACAAAGCACGAATTTAATCGACTAATTATGGAGGAACCCATGGAACGTGTTTTTTTTAGCAGAGAAGAATTGTGAAAGGGAAATTGCATAGTCACATAAGTCTATATAATGATGATCCTAAAAATGACAAATCTGAGAAAAATGAGATATTTGTAATATATTTCTTTTTTTTGATTTTTTTGATTTATTTCAGATATTCAATATAGTTGAGAAATTAGATATATTAGCGATAGTAGAGATAGTTGATATATTTAATATATTTGATATAATTTTTTTGTAATTAGCATGTATATAAAGCAAGAGAAAATATCTGAATAAAATTAACAATTAATAACAATTAACATCTATTTGGTTAACATCTAATTGTTCAAATAAACTACTATTCAAATGTGTAGCATTTGAAGGTGAAACTGCGACCATAAAGGACTTTGGAAAAGTTTCAGAGTAGTTGAAAGTGTGAATGCTCATTGCTACAACAGGAACTTAGGTATAGTTTGAGTAGACGAATGTGCATGCTAACGGATGAATTTGAGTTTATTTTTTAGAGAAAGAGTAGGATACTCGGACCAAATTATTGCATCTCAGCTTTAAAAACTTAATTATTAGAGAGGACCTCGAAAGACCCTTACAATATCATTTTCCATTTTTTGTATTTTTTCTGTTTCCTTGTTTCCATGATAAATCTCAAAATTCTTTTTGTCTTTGAATTGCTTAGCTTCATAAATTGCCTTAGTTAATGTGACTACATTTCT